TGCCCCCTCGCCCAGCCGCCCGGGGCCCGGGCTCGGCCAGCGAGTCCCCCCCACCTCCCCCTGGGCCGTCCCCCCACCCGCCGTCCCGCGCAGCCCGGCGGAGGCGGCGCCGTCGGAGGAGGAGGAGCAGGGCACTGCGGCTGGCCCCGGATCGGGAGCCAGAGCGGCAGCGGCTTCGGCAGCAGCTTGGCCCGGGCCGATGCAGCGGGACGCACCGCCCCGAGCCCCAGCCCCAGCGCCGCGGCTTCCCGCGCCCCCCATCGGGGCTGCCAACAGCAGTGGCGGCGGCGGAGGCGGGGGCAGCGGCGGCGGCGGAGGCGCCTCAGCAGCTCCGGCTCCCCCTGGCCTCCCGGGAACTACAAGTCCCAGGGGGCCTGGCGGCGGGCGGAAACCGGAAGAGGTGGGGTCGGCGCCTCGAGGCCGGAAGTGGCCGTGGAGGCGGAAGTGGCGCGGCCGCGGAGGGGCCTGGAGTGTGGCGGGACCGGGAACGGCGGGAGCTGCGGCTGGGGGCGGTGGCGGCGCGCTGGAAGCGGCCATGGCCAAGCAGTATGACTCCGTGGAATGCCCCTTCTGTGATGAGGTCACCAAATACGAGAAACTTGCCAAGATCGGCCAAGGCACTTTCGGGTAAGGTTAGGCCGGGAGGGGCCGGGAGCCGGGGACCTGCACTTTCCAGGCCGGACGTCTGGACGCCCGGGGCGCGGGCTGAGGGGGGCCAGAAGTCTCCATTCCCGGGGGTGGTTCCTGGTTTCGCTAAGCCGCGCCGCACCCGGCGGGTGCTCGACGGAGCGAGCTGGCGGGGAGGAGCCTGAGGCCGGTGTTGGGGGTGGGGGGAGGTTGCAGAGAGGCACTCGCTTGGCGAGCGGGGTCCCAAAGGGTGAGGAGCAGGGACTGAGGAAAGAGCGCAGGGGCTCGGAGCACGACCGGAAACATCCGGTGAGGAGTAGTTGCGTTCCGGGGTTCCAGGCCGGCCCCGCCTGGTGTCTGGTCTCCCACTGCCCCTCTGCTGGTGGGGGGAGGGGCAGGCCCTGCGGAAATGCCTGATGAGCTCTCTTGGGTCCCCCTCTCTGCCTGCAGGGAGGTGTTTAAGGCCAGACACCGCCAGACCGGCCAGAAGGTGGCTCTGAAGAAAGTACTGATGGAGAATGAGAAGGAGGGGGTGAGTACGGTCCGCCGGGCAGGCCTACCCGATACCCAGGACACTGTTGGGTGTCCACACTGCTGCCTCGGAGTCACGTGTTCACGTTCCGTTTATATCTAGTACTTTGGAGTATATCCTGTATTGAAGGGGATTTGACCTTCCACCTAGATCTAACAGTTTTTTAAATGGCAAAAATGGTAGTGGCCGAGATGGGGAAGCCCATGCTTGCTGGAGTGCACGTAGATGCTGAAAGTTAAGAAGCCATTAAACACCTTTACCTTAGTGCTTCATTTTGTTTAACGTGAACGGAAAATGCATGTACATGATTTTTAAAAGGCAGCTGAGCTCAAGGAATGTATTGAAAGGCAGTGGTCCATCCCAGACCTCCGCATTTTAGCCTTAGTCCAGCTTTCTAGCAACTACTTTCTTAGTAAGGAAATTTCTTTATCTTAACTCACAGACATAGTTAAGGTTTGAGGGTTTGAAACCATGGACATGGAGTGACTTAAGTCTTATCTCTGGGCATAAAGTCTTGTGTCTGTAATCCTAGACTCAAGAGGCTGAGGCTAAAGGATCCTTCACAAGTTCAAGGTCAGCCTGGTGGTCCAGATAGTGAGATCCATCTAGTCTGGGCTACAGAGTAAGGCAATCTCAAAAAATAAATAAAACCAGGCGTGGTGGCTGTAAGCCTTTAATCCCAGCACCCAAGCGGCGGAGTCCGGTGGATCTCCTTGAGATGTGTATATTATTACATCTGTTTTACAGATCAGGCATTTGCAAAGGCCAGTTGCAGAGAGTATAATATATATATATTTCTATACATGTATATGTATGTATGTATACACGTGCTTTATTTTATTTATTTATTTTTTTTGTCTTTTTTGAGACAGGGTTTCCCTGTAGCCCCAGCTGGCCTGGAACTCACTATGTAGACCAGGCTGTCCTTGAACTCACAGAGTGAGAGCCTCCCGAGTGCCTGGGATTAAAGGCCTGCACCACCACGCCCAGCATTGATTTATTTTTTTATCTTATGTGTATGAGTGTGTTGCCTGCATGCATGTAATTAACTCATGTTGTGCAATGCCCAAGGAAGTCAGAAGAGGGTGTTGGATCCCCTGGAACTGGAGTTACTGACAGCTGTTAGCTGCTACCTGGGTGCTGGGATTTGAATCCAGTTAAGAACAGCCAGTGCTTCGCCACCGAGTGTTCTCCAGTCCCTTATTTTGGCTTTTTGAGATAGGGTCTCAAACATATATACCCCATTCTGGTCTTGAACTTGAGGTAATGAACCTACCTCCAACTCCTGGTTGCTGGGATTAAATTACAGATATGAACCACCATACCTGGCCAGGGAGCACAATTTTAGCTGTCTTTTGACCTATGCCCCTTAATGTAGATCTCACCCTGGGCCCATCACCTGTTCCTTGGTCTGTAGCACTCACTTTTGACCACTTTCTCTCTTTCCTACCCAGTTCCCCATTACAGCCTTGCGGGAAATCAAGATCCTGCAGCTTCTTAAACATGAGAATGTGGTCAACCTGATTGAGATTTGTCGAACCAAAGGTATGTTGTTTGAGTCTTGTGAGAAAATGAGGCTTACTGTTTTAAGACTTTGTTTGCTGGATACATTTAAATTGTCTCTTCCTGAGCCAGATGTATTACACAACTTCTTCTGGTCTACTTTCACTAGAATTGGTGCTTCCATAGGGCCTGCCTTAGTGCCCACCCAGAAGCTAGTGAGGGAGCACACAGGTGGATGCTCTAGATGGCACCCATGGGTGTCTGGATTGGGAGACTGGGAGTTGGCTATGGGAAAATGAAATGGATCTAGGTTCTTAATTTCTCCTCCTGCTCATTTTGCCTTAGCCTCCCCCTATAATCGCTGCAAGGGCAGCATCTACCTGGTGTTTGACTTCTGTGAGCATGACCTTGCTGGGCTGCTAAGCAATGTCTTAGTCAAGTTCACATTGTCTGAGATCAAGAGAGTGATGCAGATGCTCCTCAATGGCCTCTACTACATCCACAGGAACAAGGTAGGGGCCAGAGGAGGGGAGGAAAGACCAAGGTAGAGACCACTGCTGTGTAGAAGGACCCTGTGGAAGCAGACTGAGCTCTCCCTCGTGTCTTGCCTACAGATCCTGCACAGGGACATGAAGGCTGCCAATGTGCTCATCACCCGGGATGGGGTCCTGAAGCTGGCAGATTTTGGGCTGGCCCGTGCCTTCAGCCTGGCCAAGAATAGCCAGCCCAACCGCTATACCAACCGTGTGGTGACACTGTGGTACCGGCCCCCGGAGCTGTTGCTCGGTGAGGACTCCCGAGCGGGCAGAGGGAGGCAGGGGCCGGGTGCTTACCTGGTCACAGCCCCCATTGCCAGGGCCTCTTGAGCAGCCAGTCCTGAGACAGTCTCAGGAGGCTCAAGGGCCCTCCTGGTACCCTCTTCTTCCCAGGGGAGCGGGACTACGGCCCGCCCATTGACCTGTGGGGTGCTGGGTGCATCATGGCGGAGATGTGGACTCGAAGCCCTATCATGCAGGGCAATACGGAGCAGCACCAGCTTGCCCTCATCAGCCAGCTCTGTGGCTCCATCACCCCAGAGGTGCGTAGCTAAGCCAAATGGGCCCTGGTTCCCAAGGGGTACAGAGGTTCATGTCCCTATGGCCAAGGAGGACTGGAGAGTGAAATGGAAGCTCCTCCCAGGAGAGGATGGTTGATAGAGGAGCCATCCGGCTGCTGTTGAGGGTCATGTGGGCTCTGCACAGTTCTCAGTCCTCACCTGGTGGTTTTGTGGCCTTGATGTGTTAGCTATCTGCTACTATGACAGAATACATGAGAAAAACAACTTAAAGGCAAGAAAGTGTTCCCTTTATTCAAGCTTCAGTCCCTGATCACTTGGGCTTTGTGTTTTGGGACTGAGATGCTAATAAAGGTCATGGCAGGGAGTTCATGGAAGAGCAAAGGTGTGGTCATGGTAGTCAGGAAGCAGAAAGTCCCCTGTCTCAAGAGCTAGGGCATGGCTCAGTCCTGGACTACTCGCTTAAAAATGCAGGGCCTTGGGTTCATTCCTCACATACCAAAAAAATTCCACATGCTTCATTAGCTATTTTTCCCTTTTGGTCTCACTGTTCTGCTATTATAATACCTTGGCTGGCCTACAACTGGTATAGACCAGACTGGCCTCAAACTCAGAACACCTGCCCCTGCCCCCCTAGTGCTGAGATCAGAGTTTCCACTCCCGTCCAGTAACACCACCAGCTGGGGACCAAGCTTTATTTGTGAGCTTTGGGAGGCGATTCAAAGCTTTTCTGTGAAGCAGGAAGGAATGCCCCAGAGCAGGAGCTGGTACGTCTTCCAGATATGTGGAAGGCCCTAGACCTCAGGGTTCCACCCAAAACCACTGCTTTTGCCTTAAAAAGCTCTTTTTTAAAATTTTTTATTCTATGTGTATATTTTGCCTGCATGTAAGTGCACCTCTGTCATTCAGAGGCCAGAAGAGGGTGGTGTATCCCCTGGAACTGGAGTTAGGGACAGTTGTTAGCCACTTTGTGGGTGCCAGGAACTGAACCCGCCTGGGTCTTCTGCCAGATCAGCCAGTGCTCTTAACCATGGAGCCGTCTCTCCAGTCCCTTGATTCTCTTTGAGAAGGGTCAGGGAGCATCTGGGAGAAGTTGTTTTAGCAGGCCCAAACCCTTGGGGTCTTAGCAAATGTCTCCCCAGCTCCATCCTCTCAACTCCTCCTTCCCAGGTGTGGCCAAACGTGGACAAGTACGAGCTGTTTGAGAAGCTGGAGCTGGTCAAGGGCCAGAAGCGGAAGGTAAAGGACAGGCTGAAGGCCTATGTACGGGATCCCTATGCCCTGGACCTCATTGACAAGCTGCTGGTGCTGGACCCTGCCCAGCGCATTGACAGTGACGACGCCCTTAACCACGACTTCTTCTGGTCAGACCCCATGCCCTCGGACCTCAAGGGCATGCTCTCCACTCACTTGACATCTATGTTTGAGTACCTGGCGCCTCCACGCCGGAAGGGTAGCCAGATCACCCAACAGTCCACCAACCAGAGCCGAAATCCAGCCACTACCAACCAGACGGAATTTGAGCGTGTCTTCTGAGGCAGGTGCTGAGCACTCTTCTTCCTTGGGGCTGGTTGGTGGTGGATTGCTTCCTCTGCTATGTGACTTGCACTGTGACAGGATGGGACAGTTGAGATTTTTCTCCTCCAGCACGTTTACTCCCTACTCTGGGCACGGGGAACAACTGCCTGAGTGGACTGGAGTGGAACTTTGGCTTCGAGGCCAGGAGGGTGCCAGGCCGCTTTGCGTGCCCCTTTCTGGATTTCTGTGCACCATCTGGAGGGACTCCATTTAGCTTGGACAAGAAGTGAGGTGGAGAGGCTTACCTACCAGTGACATTCTTGGAGCTCCTTGCATGATGGGAGGAGGGCAAAAGTCCCTCATCATCCCCAGCCCTTCCCTCAGGATGAGGAGTTTGGGGGACAGAGGCACGTGGAAATGGACTACTCTTGGTGTAGTCCTCAGCAGCACGGGAGTGGTGAGAACTCTTGGTTTCTTCAAGAGGATAATTTTATCATGTTTTGTTCAGTTCAGAGATATTCCTGGATACAGTTTGGTCAGTTAACATTAAAAGTCAATTTTTTTCCAGTAAGTGGCTGTTTTCTACATACAGACCCTCAGCTCCTGTCCCACAGCTAGAAGTTAGGATTTTTTTCCTTTCTCTCCTGGATATTTTCCAGAATACCTGTTCTTGTGCCCACTGCTCCTATGCTGGGTGTTAGCAAGGGTCTCTTGTGAGCTGTGGCTGCAGTGGTGACCTGCTGGGCCCAGGCTGCTTGGACTGAGAAACACACCTCAATCAGGGCTTGGAGGAAGTCAAATAGGGAGTTACCAGAGGGTGGGCAAATCACGAATCACAAGTGTGGGGAAGTGGCAGAAGCATGGGTCAAGGTGGAGAGGGAAGGAAGATAGGGTCATGAGGACATAGGGTAGGGACCCTGTGTAGCCCCCTCCAGGGATGTGTGAGTTTTGTGGGATTGCTAGCTGAAAAGGACAAACAGCCCATCGACGGTAGGGTTAGATGTCCAGTCCATGGTGCGTTGGCAGAGTTGCTTCCCCTTGGAGGCTCTGAGGGATAATCGGTCTCCTGCTTCTCTGGTGGCTCCAGTGTGAGACAAAGTCTCATGTATCCCAGGGTGGCCTGGAACTACTGATTCTCCTATCTTCACCTCTGGAGAACTGGAATTACAGGTGTGTGCCACCACTTCCAGGAACAGTCTTCATCCTGGCAACATCCCTGGGCATTTTCCTTTCCTTTGTTTCTGTCTCCAAGGACACCAGCCCTAGGTGTTGGGACCCAGCGTGATCCAGTATAATCTCATCTTCAACCAGTCTCATCTTCAGAAGGTCTCTTTCCATATAAGGCCACAGGTCCTTGGAGCACATAAATTTAGAAGACATACCATTCAACCCAGTGTAACTAGAAATTAAGATGATGCCTACTGACAGGTTTGGGTTTTGTTTTTTGAGACAGGTTCTTGCAATAGCCTTAGCTGGCCTGGAATTCACTAGTGTTTCACTGGATTTTTCCCCTTCCTGCCCTTTCTTTCAGCCGCCCTCACTCAGGGTCTCACCAGCATAACACAGTTCTATTTGGATTTTGCATAGTTTATATGACATTTGGGAGGGGGTGACTTCTCATAACCCATGTGCCATTCAAGCCCGCCCACTGCACATGCCAACTTACCCTGCAGAATTCACACAGGGCCTTGCAGTCGACTCCTTAGCTCCCAGAGTTCCAATATATAGCTGTCGCTGACTCTCCGTCTCTTTTCCCAGGGTGCTCCTTGTCCCCTCCCTGGCTGGCTTACTGTCCATAGGAGGAATGAGTAATTTTCGTGCTATAACTAGGTAGGCCAGGCTGGCCTGTATCTCCCACAGATTTCACCTGCCTCTGCCTCCCAAGTGCTGGGATTAAAGGCATGCCCAACCTCACTGATTTTGAATGTTTGATAAAAGAAGAAAAAAACATGTGGGGCTGACTCAGTTCAAAATGTTTCTGACTGGGAGTGGTGGCTCATGTCTTTAAATCCCAGCATTCAGGAGGCAGTGGCAGGTGGATCTCTGAGATTGAGGCTCACCTGTCTACAGAGTGAGTTCCAGGCCTGCTGGGGCTACAGGGAGACCCTGTCTCAAAAAAAAAAATACAGCAATTAAGGAAGACACCTGTCAACCTCTGGTTTCTACACACTTACGTGTGGACATGTTATGCACACATATACCTCATGCACCCAAAAGAAGTAGAACAAGGAGAGGGAGGTGTGGGGCAGCTGAGGTGTCACAGTTGCCATGGAAGCAAAACCCTCAAGAGAGGCTGGTGTGACAGAGCAGGCACTGTTGTCAAGGGCCACAGAGCCTTCTGGATTGGGTCTAACTGGTGTTTCTGTCTTAACTGCTTCCATGTTTTCTCATCTAGTTAATATATTTATTCATGTAATAAACCCTAAAGCAGGCTTTAAACCCTGGAGTGGGGCTGGTGGATGGCTCAGCAGGTAAAGGTGCCTGATTACCAGAGTTCCATCCCAGGAACCTCCATGGTGGAAGGGAAGAGGAGAAATGACACCCACAAGTTGTCCACAGACCTCCACATACGTTCACATGCATGCACACATGAATTTATTAAGTTTTCGTGAAAAACCCTGGAGCAGCTGACTAAGCTCCCTACACCTTTCTTGTCCAAGTCCACCCTTTGGAGGATCTGGGCCTCCTTCAGTATCAAATCCGTCTGTGGAGGGAGGCATGAGACTTGCCCCCCACTCCTAGACAGTGCTGGCTCTGCATGCAAGTCTCACGTACATTTGAATGAGTCAGGGAAATCACATGGGCTGGAAGAGGCTGTGAAACCAGAAAACGTCTAGACCATCCCAGCTCCTTTGCATGTGCCTTTGATGTCATCCTTCAAGCCAGGGGATTGTGACATGTGTCCTGATATCTTCTGACCTAATGGTTTTATAAAACAAGGCTCTTCTGGCTGGAGAGATGGCTCAGTGGTTAAAAGCAGTTGTTCTGGGGCCGGAGCAGGTAAGAACACTGGTTCTTGCAGAAGACAGGGGTTTGAATACCAGGACCCACATGGCAGCTAACAACTGTCAGTAACTCCAGTTCCAGGGGATCCAACAGCCTCTGTCTTCTGTGGGCATTGCACGACATGAGTGCACTTACCTACACGCAGGCAATATGTGCATACACATAAAAATAATAATATATTTTAGAAAAAAACACTTGTTCTGGCCAGAAGACTTGGGTTCGATTCCCAGCACATGGCAGCTAACAACCATCCTAACTCCAGTTCCAGGAAATCTGAGATACCCTCTTCTGGCCTCAGTGAGATGTTGCACACATATGGTACACTTAGATGCAGGCCAAACTCTTCATAAGATAAAAATAATATCACCGAAACAAAAACCGCCTTCTCCAGAAGGCTCCGACTAAGTCATGGGCGCCTCATCCCTGTACTGCACCTGTCTCACCTCCCCTCCCAGCTTGGTAGGAAGAGAGCCAAAGAGCCCCAGCTGCAGAGGACGGGGGTGGTGGGGGGTAGGCTGTGACAAGGAGGGCTGGAAGAGGTCAGATAGAGCCAACTCCACCTGTTCAAGAGGGCCAATCCCAGGGCCTGGACACTTCCACATATCCCTCTACCCTGCCCCCTCCTGCTGCTCACCTTTAACCTCCAGTTGTTATTTAACTCACAAGGAAAGTGACTAGTCCTGCAGTGGGGTTACCAGCCAGGCCTGGCCAGGAAAGTTGCTGGGCTGATCCCAGGATAGAAGTGGGAACCTATCAGGTTAAACTTCTGGTGGAGAGCTTCAGGGCGGTCTTGGGAACCACTCCTCTCTCCCACGACAGGGCCCACTGTCTCCACTGCAGCTGGGCAGAGGTGGCTTGGCAGAGATGCCCCTACCTGTGAATCACTTGTGCCCTACCCAATAAGGGAGCTGGGAACCCAGTGATGAAAGGCGCTAGGTGCCTGCGTATGTCCTGGCCTGTGATTGAGAAGTTCCGGTGTGAAGCAGCCATGGAGTGGCAGGGCCCATCTCAGTGTCTTCTCGAAGCTAAAACTGCCTCCTTCCAGGTAGGAGAGCCTGATGACCTCAGGCAGGCTGCCTTGCCTCACTTTCTTATGTGCAGCAGGTATGCCATAGGCTTCAGGGGCTCAAGAATGGTAGTGCAGGCTCCAAGGAAAGGCCTTGTCACTAGGTGCTCTCTCCAGAGCAGGGGGACATAAAGGACCTTCTTCCCTACAAAGCTCCACTCTCCACCTACAGGAAGGTGGGCATGCCCCAGAAATCCTGCCCAGTGTGTCATTAGGGGAAACTGCAGGCAGGGGTCACAGAAGCAGACCAGTATCACCTGCCTTTTACAAGGAAACAGATGTAATCCAGAGATGTCAAGCTTAGCCCTTTGAAGAAGTCTGGACTCTTCAGTGGGGCTCTGGCTCTGGACCCAGGACATCTTGATTCAGCTTCGTCACAGCCCTCCCAGTTAGGGACAGCTTGACAGAGGAAGAGATGGGGCTCATCCTGGAGCTGGGAATAGGAGTCTGGGCAGGGGTGCAGAGAGGAAGGAGGTCTGTAGTCACAGACCAGATAAGTCCCTTAGCCTCACCCAGTCTGGCATCTTCGTTTGGAAGAGGGGGCCTGCAAGAAAACGTTCCTCAGCTGGGTGTGGTGGCTCACGCCTTTAATCCCAGCACTCGGCAGGCAGAGGCAGGCGGATCTTTGTGAGTTTGCGGCCAGCCTGGTCTACATAGTTCTAGGACAGCTGGGGCTACAGAGAGACCCTGTCTCAAAAAGACAAAAAACAAACAAAACATTCCTCCACCCCTCAAGATGACAGCTTGAAGCTCTGCTGTGAACTGTAGAGCCAAGCTGCCTCAGCAGGCATAACTTTCTCCATGTGGGAGGGGAGAGGTGGCCTCAGATGGCCAGGATTTGAGGATGGCCCTTGAGGTTATCCAGGCCCCTCAACTTAGGGACTCCAGCCCCAGAGAAGTGAGGTGGCTTGCCCTAGGACACATAGTGGATCACTTTTGGGACAAAGAGAGGGAGAACAGGGTGGGGTGGGTGGGAGCTACCTATTTCTAGCAATGCATGGAGCCTATCTCTGCAGTATGAGCCTGCTCAAGCCCAGAGTCCCCAGGTGATTTCAGTTACCTAAGAGCATAGAGCAGGTGGGTTAGGGGCTAGGCAGGGCCTGAGTGGAGCCTGGCATAACACCCTGTAAATGACTAAGCCACTTTTGCTGTTAGGCCCTTGTTTTCCTGGGAATTGGGGCTCAAAACAGCCTTCCTCAGAGGAAATCGTGAGGGTTAAATAAGACATATGCATCAGTCCTAGAATAGTGCCCATGTCTAGAAAGAATTTGCTATTGGGACTGGAGATGTAGCTCAGTTGAGAGAGTACCTAGCATACACAAAGCACTGGGTTTGGTTCCTAGCACTATGTAAAATGGTGTGGTGGTAAATGCCTATAATCCCAGCTCTCAGGAGGTGTAGGCAGGAAGATCAGAAGTTCAAGGACATCTTTCAGGCTATGCGAGACCTTGTCAAAAAAGAAAAAAAATTGAGACCAGCCTCATTTACATAGCAAGTTC